GGAGGGAGTGACGGAGGTAACGTCCGCGGGGGAAGGGAGCAAGGTGGGGAGGAGGGGGGGGGGGGGACCTCATGTAAATTCCTGCTGTAGTCATTAGATCATTGACCGCAGGTGGTGGTGGGGAGGGGGAATGTGGATGAACTTGGCCAACCCTCTTTCTTGGTGTGATTTGGAATTGAGGCCCGGAGTTATCGAAACAGAAAATATATTTAGTGCTTCTTGTTTTGGTGCCCGGTTCAGGACGTTCGTGATGTGCGTGTGTACTGGCATCAGGTTGTCTTGTGTGCCTGGTTCACGTTGGGATGCGACGCTCTCTTTAATTCTGCTCCCTCTTCCTCTTGCTGGTTACAGTATTCGTCAATGTCGGTGGTTGTCTGTTCATTTTTTTCCTGTTGCCTCCTCCTTCTTTCTCCTGGATCCCCTTTTCTCCTGCTATATCTCTAGCCTTATCTCCCCCTCTTGCGATCCTCTTTCACATGACACGCAAAAATCAAACTCAGTTTCCGGTGGTATAACGGCGGTGTCTTCTCTCCGTCAGACATGCTGTTGGCTGTTCCCCTCGTTCTCGTCTTGAGTCCAATCTCTCTTACTCCTTTTTATCGCGTGTCGAATATGTGGCACCTGTGCTTTGTGTTTTTTTGTACAGGTGTGCCTCCAGGGGCAAAAAAAGCGCGCCGCGGTGGTGCGGTACGTTGGCGAGACCCAGTTCGCGACGGGCGTGTGGGTAGGGGTGGAGCTCTCACCGGATGCTGATCCCCCAGGTGCGGCACGTAACTAGTAGACTACAGATAGAGCCCGTGATAAAGAAACGAAGTCTCAGATTTTGGCGATAAAAAAAGAAAAGTAGACTGAGAAACGCACCTCAGCAGTGGATCCTATTGTAAACTCTATATAGATATGATTGATGGCCTATGCTCGCCTATGGTGACGAAATAAGAAATTGACCCTCGGCCCCAAACTGACGTTTCTTAAAACGCTGGCGCTAGCTGTACAGTGTGTCTCTAGTCTGCACCGGTGGTTCACTGAATCTAAGCGCTACCGGTTTTTAGGTTTTCAGGGTTTGGGGCAGTAGGTACACGCTGAGGAGTAAGTTCAAGGCGAATGCGTTGCGTGTATCGTTTTGCCGCCGCAATCCATTTGCCGCCGTCGCAGGCGATTTGCGACGACGGTTGTGACGTCTCTAAGTATTTGCTGCCGTGAGGCGATATTTTCGGTTTCGGTTTTTTCTACAACTATTAGTAGGGTGATCCAGACACATCCATGAGTATGACGATCGTGGAGTTGGACGCATGACGCGTGCAGCCTGGCCAATGGTGGCTTCATCGAAGAGTGCGTTGCACATGGTGGTTCTGGTGTTGTTCGTGATACGAAGATGGGGGTCAACCACCACGGCCGATTACGTTACACAGTTGAGACACGTGTGTTGCACATTGTGGCGCTACTGCTGTTCGCGGTAGACATCGCACACACCAGGCGGATGGGGGATTGCGACTCACCCCGCAACATTGACCATGGGCCCCAACTAACTAGCTCGCGTTTTGCACATCGTGCCGCTACTGCTTGCTGGTCGTGGTTGGTAAACACATCCCACACACCACACACCAGGAAACAATGATGGGTCGGTTCGAGGGGTGTCGTACTTCAAGTGCCCTCCCTTGTGCGGGGTGTTCGCTAAGCCAGACATGTTCGAGTTGTTGGAGGAGGAGGAGGGAGATGCGGAGGGTGGCGACGTAGAAATGTCGGCGAGAGAAGAAGATGGGTGAGTCCTTTGGGGTTTGGGCGTTAGCCGTGCAGGAGTACCATGAGTTGTCACGCGACTTGAGCAGCGGTTCTTCCGTTACAGCTGTGGTGGTCCTGGTTTAGCGACACGCCCCTGTTTAGCGACATGCCTCGTATAGCGGCCACAAAAACGCTTGGCACCTGTGCACCCCGACAATTAATAATAGCCAGTACTTTTAACCGACAAGATCAACCTGCCCTGAATAGCGACCACATTTCCCTCCTGACACTAAATTAGGGATCGCTGAACCGGGCCCTTCTGGTCACACGTGACTCGACTGGGTACATTCTATTGGGCAGCGTCTTCGAACGAACCCGGTTGATTGGTCAACGTCGACTCTACCTCAACGAGAAACAATTAGCAGTGCCCGGGCGTATTATCGAAGCATCTTCCCGCCCAAAACCACGAATATCTAATTCCCCGTGGTTGAGGAAGGTCGAGGTTTGTTTCCGCTCACTGCCGTGGGCGGTGGAAAGTCTAACGTGGGTGTGTTTCGTTCCCGCTCCTCACATCGTTCTCCTCCCCCTGGTGGCGGAAACGTTTCGTTGTTGTTGTTTTTTGAATTTTGTCCTACGTAAAAAAAAACTATTTCCAGGAAAATGGCGGCGGCGGGCGGCTCCGACGAGGCTACCCGTGCGGGGGGCGAGCTTCTCCGCTTCCACAAGCTCTTTGCGAACGAGGTACGCATCGCCGTGCACACGCTGTTGCTGGAGGCAGTCGTGACGGCGATGGTGAATACGTAGAATGGAATAGCGTTGGACGTTGCTGTTGTTGCGCTCTGGTGGGAAGTTGGTCGAGAGACGGTGCAGTCTTTTTTTGGGGGGTGGAGGTTCGCGTCGTATTTGCGTGTGTGTGTGTGTATTATTATTAGCATCGACCGCGGTAACAGGCTGGCCCATGAAAAGACGTCAGTCTCAGTGCGGTTGAAAACACGAGATGCTCTCTTCTAAAGGCGTGCGTGCGTGTCTTTATTGTTAACATCGACCGCGCTGTCTGGCTAGCCAATGAAAAATCGTCAGTGTTGTGTTAATATTTTTTTCTCGCGTGGATGGTGTCATTCCTACTACCGTGTTGGCACTAAATAGCATGTGCTCCCCCGTGTTTCGGCAGGCGCTGGAAGCACTGAAGGAGGAGATGGCCATGATCCCAGACCTGGAGGGGTTGGTAGAATCCAAGCAGTCGGCCCCCGCGGATCGCGTCCGCTTCTATCTCGAGGTTTTGGAGAGCGCGGCGGCGGCGAGAGAGGCTGCGGCGGCCAGGCTGCGCGCACAGATTCGAGAGACGGCGGAGCGGTACCCCTCGGTGTTCTCTCCATCGTCGGATGATGCTGCCGCTGCCGCGTCTTCGGAGGGCGGAAGAGGAAGCAGCGGCGGCGGTACCGATGCCGGTTCGGGTCCTGGAAGCGGCGCAACCCAATCCGATGGTGGTCCCGGTGATGGGGACGGAGACGAGGATGCAGGCGGTGGGGGGGGTGGTGGCGATAGGGCTGACGGTGGGGAGGATAGCAACGCCAACGATAACAACGGAGCAGCAGCGAGCGGCAAGACGGAAGAGGACGAGAGCGTAGAGGACACCGAAACCGTCGCGGTGGAAGCAGACGATGGCCACGCTGCTGATACTTCGGCCGCCGTCGCCGTCGGAGAAGACGAAGGGGACCCCGCTGACGGCGGCAGCAGCAGCAGCGACGACAAGGGGGCACGCGGTCAAGATAAAGGAAACGGAGGGAACGTGTTTGGGATGGTGGGGAAGTTCCTGCTGGGGGTCGTCCACAAGCCTCCGGGAGAAGAAGAAGAAGAAGAAGAAGAAAGCGACCAGGACCAGGCATGCCAACAAAAGGAAACCCACGGGCAAGGTGCGGCCGGTTCTGGTTCTGCTGCACTCGTCGCATCGACTTCCACGGTGGACGCGCCTTCCACCCCAAACGCGGTAGGTAAGCGTGCTCCGGTGGAGGGGGATGGGGGCCCCGTAGCTGAGGCGGGGGTGTCTGTCGAGGGTGTTGTCGTGGAGACGACGTGACGTGATTTGTATTTATTTGCTCTCTTATTTTTTTGTTTTTCAGGTAGAGAGTGAGTGGCACATCAGTAGAGATGGAACTATTTAGGCGGCGATTTTTTTGGGCGGGGGATATGGTTCTCTGTATTTTTATGCTCGCGCTGAAAGAGCAACGAGGAGTGTGTGTCTGGATGTCTTGTCTTGCTTTTTCTCCTCCTTCCCAGTTCAAGGTTGGAATTTTTCGGGGGATGTGATCGTGTGGGGTTTTAGGTTGTCCCGTTGCAGCTGCTGTTATTTGTTATTGTAGGTCCACCGTTTATGTTGGGTTCTTCCTGATGTTCTCTGTAGGAGGTTGGTAGAGTGCTTTCAGCGGGTAGTCGTTGTCGTCGTTGTTGTGTTGTTGGAATGTCCCGGCTGCTGCTGGCTGCTGCTGCGGTTGACATTCATTTCTTCTTCCGTTCGTGGAGGGAAAAGTGGTATGGTATGACTTACCATATGGTATACTGCTGGTACGGCGGTATGAAGCTTGGTTGCTTTTCTGGTTTGCTCCCATTGTCCAGGCGCCGACCCCAGCCGGCTGTTCGGTTTGATGGGAACACCGTCAATAAGATCTGGTACAGAACGGTTCAGGAAGGAGATCGACGCGAGGCCCGTTCCGCCGGACTTTCTTATTTTCTCGATTTTTTCTTGTGGCCTGGACAACGAACTCGGTGGAAAAGTGTTGAGTGTGTGCAAGCCGTAAATTATCGTTCCGATGGCTGGCATAGAACACCAAAAATTGTTTCTGTTGTTGTCGGTTGTGCGTGTTTGGCACCTTTGCCTCGCCCCTGAAAAGTTGTAGACACATGGTGAGCGATCGCGTTGTGTCCACCGTCTTGGCGCTTCGCCAGATGCCGCTCTCGGCTGTGGGCGTTCGGTGAGATAGATCGTGTTCGCTTTTTCGGGAGGGGGGCGCGACAACGATTCATCTCTCTGCTCTGTACAATGCGCGTGGTGAAAACGATGGTTGGCGAAAAGAAACGGAAACAGTTTCGTTTCTGTGGAGGAGATGGATCGGTTGTGTCATAAGTGAAGAAAAACTAAATATGAAAAAAAATAAAATAAAACATTATCCCGTCTTGTGGCTGATGGTGTATTGTACACACCCGGGCGGGGGCATTGTGACACCCGCGACATGGTCATTTTTCACGCCGAAAGCACACACGGCCTTCGAGCAAACCAAAAAAATAGTTTGCGGGTTAAGCGTGCCATTCATGTTCCATTGCTCCGGTTGGTTTGTCCCACAAATCGCGCAGTAACGTAAAAACAGACAGCTGGTTCACGGGGCCCGCTCTTAGTGCGGGCACGTGCCAAGCGCTTTCAACCGCTGCTGTAGCGGGCCCCCGCACAATAGAGCCCCCCCCACTGCTGTATGCATATTTTGTGTCTCTTTTTTTTTGTGTGGATAGAGACAAACGGTTCTCTCTTTGTAAGGAAAAAAAAAAAAATCCCATAGCGTCTCTCCGGGTGTCCGCGATCGTGATTGGCGTGCATCTAACCGCTGGTACCCCCGACCGACCAACACACACAAGGAAAGAGGCGTGTTTCCCTTCACAGCTCAAAGTTCATGATACAGCATCCACGTGTTGTGAGTCAAGTGCGGTTCGGCAGCAGCACAAAAAAACGACATCGGATCCTTGAGCGAGTCATCACACGCTCACACGCCTCGCGGCCCTGCGATGAGGCCATTGATGGCAAAAAAGCTCTCCGTTAGCACTGTCATCGTTCCACACGTTGTTTGTCCTTTTGGATGGCGAGCGGGTGCCCGTTTTACTCTGAGCCATTTCGCGGAAGTACACTCGTCACTCTCAAACCAGGAAAGCTAGCTGCGTCGGGACGACGAGAGAACCGTTTGGGCCATAGGTTGCGCCCCCCACCAAAAAAACAAACAACTACGTCCTACAAACTACAGGACACACACCTTCTCTTCTCTCAAGAGTATCACAGCATGCACCACTCGCCATCACCGCGTGTACCACACGCTACTGCTGTTGCAATGTTCATGAACCACCAACACACGTGCATCATTACCGGATGGCATCTCCGTCAACCCCCCCCCCCCCCCCCAGGAACGGGCGGTAGATAATGT